AATGTCAAATTTAATGAAAACCACCGCCAAAAAGACTTACGCATTGCCTCCGCAGTCATTTGTTGAGCAAGTTTAACATCGCCTTTCTCTTCAAGCTGTTTCCCTGCTTGCTGTAGGAACAGTGCTGCTTCATACCACATATCGGGATAGTATCCCAAGCACAACAACGATTGCTCATAAGCATATACTACTAAACGGATGTAATTTACCAATAGGTACCCATAAAAATGAAAAATTCGAGATGAACCGGCATAGTGCGCACGTACCACGTTTCGCAAATTGCCCATATTCCTCTGTCTCCATTGGATTACTCTTTTCCCACTGGATATATTTCTTCCACATTTCTACCTAAAGGAAAAGGACAATGGTAGAGCGATGTTCATGACGCATAGGAAATCACTGGACCGTTGTGATCAAGAACTTTACCTGCTTCATTTCCGGAGCAGTACCTCGTGGTGGTACAGATACAGCTTGCCTATTCACTCCTCGAGTGACTGTCTCCAGTTGTTTGGCTATTTTCTTAGACACCTTGAGTATTTGTTGAGATTACTTGAAAGAGTAAACACTACCAGAGAAAGAAAGTGTGAACCTGATATTCCTTATTGCGCTCAGAAATGAGCTTTTCGGCAAGGGTTGGGTTGATATTCTTCTCATAGGCACAATAATCCGTCCATAACGACTCTATATTGACCATCGGTGTAGAAATACCTCGCTGATAGATTTTTCGTACAGCTGATATGCGTTGATTTTCGGCATACTGACCTATGGCTGGCCTACAAAAGGAGTGCTCAGCGCGGCAGACACATGTGAGAGATACGAGAAACAATACTAATGGGAAGCCTACTAAATTTTCGGAGTTAAAAGCTTCACTAAAACTCGAACCATGAGCCTCGTGCCAATCCCCCCCCCCCCTAGTTCGAGAAAGCTGATTAGAAACCTGCAGCGGAAACAGCAGTCACAAGAGAATAAAGGAAAAATATCGAGGTTGTCGCCGTTGATCAACTCATTTTTTTCGAGATGCGGCACGGAGCTGATCCCAAAATAGACCCCCGGACTGCACGATTCAACTCATACGACAAAATGCAAAAAAAAAAGTAGTTAGGGAACTGAACGCTGGCAACTTCGATGCTTTGCGAATGTGAGTAACCCGCGACCTGGGAGAATCGGCAACAAAGAATCAGCTGGCAGTCAAATGATACAGAATTTCCCTGAGAGTGCGCCAAGTCGCTCGATCAGATCATCCACCCACATGAGTTTTCACGGGCTACAACCTAACAGTGAGACCTAGGTCTACATTCAATATGAACAATTTTGCTCTGAAGGATTTACCCACTGTTCTAGAACTTTCTTATTTATGCAGTGCTTTACTGCTTTTTAGAAGATTTGTTAAAAACAAGCTTCAACAGAGCCATATAATTAGTAATTTGGAAATTCGGCCCCATAGCAATTCGGCCCCCGCTCTAAGGCCGCGTTCATAGCTTGCGACCGTGAAGAAATGCAGAAATGCGGAAAGTGCGGAATCTGCAGAAATGACGAAAAGCAATAGATACGTATCGATTTGAAGAAATGCAGAAATGCCGAAAGTGAAGAAGTGCGGAATCTGCAGAAATGCCGAAAGTGCGGAAAATCGATACGTATCGGTTGCTTTTCGTCATTTCTGCATTCCGCACTTCTGCAGTTTCCGCATTTCTGCATTTCTTCAAATCGATATGTATACAATGCTTTTCGTCATTTCCGCAGATTCCGCATTTCTTCATTTCTGCATTTCTTCATGGTCGCAAGCTATGAACGCGGCCTAATGCAGTGACTTGGAAATTCATTTGAATCAAACGATACTAAAGCATCAGAGTAACTTTATTAGATATGTTTGCCAAACCCCTTGCGGGAGGATGCTGACGAGATCTCTTGGTAGACTTGCACAATTGTCCTTCCCTCTGATTACGAATTCCCCGAAAAGCTGATGGGCGGAGTCAGTCGACTCCCGGTTCTGCTGAATCGCAAATGCCCAAGAGTCGCCAAAAAGGAAAGCTGCCTCGCACGGGCTCCCACACCTAATGTCTCGAAACACTGTTTTACACCATCTTAGCCCAAGATCAATAAGAAACTGTAAACATACACGGTTTTCAAGAAGGATATATAGTCCGAATATATTGAGTACGAGTTCATATCCAGCCCAACCTTGTCAAGCGCGAAATCATACGCTTTAGCCATCTTCTCCCTGAATATTATATCTTTCAGAGATAGTTCCCCTGAATGAATAAAAGCACAGTGAACGCTAAGATGACCTAAATGAGCTTAAATGGCCCTTGGTCTCTCGCACATAGAACACATAGCATTTCCAGAGGTCGATATTCAGAACTTTTACCAAACATCTATTGAACAACTGTAACAAAGATCTGATCTAAAGGACCATCAGCAATCTTAATGCAAATTTTGAAAAATAAAAAAACCGAACGTACGTTCTCGACATTCTCGAAGTTCTTCCCACGAAGCTGAAACATGGAAAGTGATGAAATTAAATAACCTAACTTCGAGCAGAAAGTTACACTTATACAAAACAAGGTTGATTAGAATCAGAAAATTCACCTGCTGCTGAGTGATCTGTAACTCGTAGGTCTACACATTCTCATACTGCATAAGTGGTAAGGTTTGTGTACACACTCTCCCTAGTCCTTGTTAAAGCACCATTAAGCAATACAAAAAGGTGCGACAGTTCCCTTGTGTCAGACTAAGATTCCTTTTAAAAACAAGCTAATCGAGCGATACTGGCCAACAATATTTATTCGCATAGAATTATGAAAGACCATAGGCGATATCATCATTACGGGGCCGATGCTGCATAGCAAATATTTATTATTCATGGGAAAGCACTGGGGGAACGAAAAGAAATAAAAGGAGATGTGGCGTCCGCTATCGGATAGCCGGGGTGACATGAACTGCCGCAAGATAGCCAACTGCAACATGACCAGATCACCACGGTTGAACGGCACATCAACATGATATTCTATACCCTAGTTCGGCGGATGAAAGGGCTTGTCAGGCAGTATAAGTGCGCCACAGCGCCAAACCCATTCTCTGCCGTTGCTGAAGTAGGTATGTAGGTTGAAAACGAGTACGAACGATATGATACAGTCTTGCCACTAAATCGCTCCAACAACTGGTGGAGAACAGATTTGGCACCGGCCAAACTCATTCTACCTGACACGCCCCTTCGTCCGCAGCGAACTAGACTATACTCAGCCTTATATAATACTCATACCTCGTGTTCTATGTAAGCCTTCCAATAACGTCCAGCGTTTGGGAACTGCGTGACCAGCTTTTCGTAGAAGTTTCGCGCCTGATCAATTGGACGAGCCTGCGAAATACATGGGTTACTTACGGTATAACGTTATACATTACAAATGCGCCATTTTCAGGGCACTCAGACATCGAGATGGTGCCGCAAAGAAGAGCTGGAAGAAAGGAAATCCTTGGGAGAGGGTGGGGCAGTTAACGTACCTCTGTGCAGAACTGGGACTGACGTCATCTAGATGGAAATGCCACTTTGGAGACCCATTGCGATTGCTAGGTGAACTCTGGGAAAGAAGAAGAGAAGAATAATCATGGGACACCTTAGTATCCTTAGGGCAGCTCTGCCACAAGTTTTATGTCTCCTGGTCTATGGAGATAAGCGGATTTTTGACGTCTCTCGTTCACATAATCAATTTCTAACAAGGGAAGGATGGTAATGGTCGAAGTGGCATTTTGAAATGAATGTATACCGTGAAGGGTTCGACCGGGAATTACGAAACGTTTCCATATCTGTTCTGCGGACGGTCTCCCAGAAAAGAAAAACGGAGGTTTTCTGGGAGAAACACTATAAAATTGGGGCGTAAGGATGCCGGATCGTGGAGATGGCGAGTGGATAGCGTAGGGCTCACGGATGCGTGGTCGAGGGTTTGAATCCTTGATGCGTGTGCTCTTTTGCATTTTTTCGAAAGTGGCCCCTGTGCACTTCAAAGCCATTTTGCATAACACTTGTCCATGATAACGTCGTGATGTAATGATTCTGAACTGATGGAGCATTGGAAGCATTCAATAAGAAATACGTCTGGCTGTTGTCTTCTTCTTTCTTTGATTTGAAAGCATATACAACAAAAGTGCACTCCAAAGAAAGATTTTGCCTTCAAATGAATTTATTCTCCAAACGACATGACCGGAAAACGAATCCGAAGTTGTGCAGGAAGATGATTATAGTGGGGAAAATGCTTCCATATGAAGTGGCGTTGATGTGGCAATCATGCTGGAGATCGCGATGGCAAGAGCTTCATACCAGTGGATAATTGATTGATGTTATTCCAAAGGAGTTTCGTATCTGCTGGAGGTTTGGGCTCGTATGACAATCTTATTCCCCGGGCCGGAGGTGATCTCCATGAAATCGTTCGCAATGGCTCCATCAGTTCAGAATCATTACATCACGACATTATCATGGACAAGTGTTATGCAAAATAGCTTTGAAGTGCACAGGGACCACTTTCGAAAAAATGCAAAAGAGGGACGACGCCCACCCAGGATACAAACGACCTCCGACGACGCCTCGTGATGCATAAGACGTATCAATCGGCATGCTGCCCGATCTCGACAGCCTTACGCCGCCAATTTGTAGTGATCTCCCCCAAAAAAGCTTCGTAACTTCTTTCTGGGAGGTCCGCAGCAGATATGGAACACGGTTTCGTAATTCCCGTCCGAAGACCTTTCAGCCGGTATACATTTAATTTCAAATGGCCACTTCGACCTAACATCCTTCGTTGTCAGCTTATTAAAGCTGAATACGCGTCATATATCGAAAAATAAACAAACAAAAAACGCGTAAACAAATGGAGACTCTAGCACAAACAGCCTTTGAGTTCTGGTGGATGTAACAAGGAAAACGTCAGATAGGCTAAAAGGGACGCCTTCGTTACTTCCTGTGAAGCGCGAAGGGTAACTTCAGAGACGAGGTCAGACCTAATTGTGCAAGGCGGACGCCCTTGGCTTGGATGAGCCGAAGACCGTCTTTAAGGTTCGAAAGGAACATTCAAATTAGCGTGAAACAAAGCAATCTACATGCGAGATAATTTCATGGCAAATTATTCGCGAATGTTGATAAAAAGCAGCAGATCGTACCTGTGACTCCCTCAGAATCAAGTTCCAAGCATCGATGTCGAAAGGATTCAACTCTATCTCCTCTCCGAGTGAGTATAGAGCACCCGCATAAGCAGACAAGACGAATCTGAAGACAGAAAATGTAAAAAGGCAAAGGAAAAGGTCGGCGGAGTTCAGCGACGGGGGGAGGGGGGACATTTGGCACTTTCGCAGAGGTCATTGTCGTGTTAACCATCATGTAGAAGGTTGTGGAAATCTTGTGAGGCCAGGAAGTCATACCAGTCAGAATTTGTAACTATTATACTTGTCAACTCCTGTAGAATACTGTGTCTTGTAAGAGTGGTAGGAAAATGGGGAATAGAAACGGCAAATGTAATCACCGTTCGCTGCAGCAAACTGCGTAATCTCAAAACTTCGCATGTATGACGCGTCATACGAGTTAATAGGTCTCGATATAAGCGATGCAACGATACGATGCAGAGTGGATATTTATTCTTACATTCTAATAAACATAACTCTGTGTGGTCGTTTGTGGTATGTTGATGTATGTATGTCGTACGGTCAGCAGAAATGCTTAGGGTTTCAAACACTCAGTGTAGAAGAATGTGTACGACCGCTAGCCGGTGGCGGAAAAATTTGGGCAGTATGGTTATCAATACAATGTTTGATTGTGATAACACCTGAATATATAAGAGAACATGGTAAGTGCAACTCCCAAACCATTGCACGAGCTGCTCGCGTGGCAGGTGGACGTGAGCACGTGCAGCGGCCGGGATGGGGAGTGGGTGGGGCAAGTGGGAGTGGGGAGGGTATAATGTGGGTGGGTGGGATTAGTGAGGGAGAGTACGGGAGGGGAAGCATAGAGTGCGTTTAGTAGAAACTCATCACGAGTGTGATAAAAGCGCCAATGAAAGCGATAAGGTGAATAGAGAAGGATAAACGAGCAGAGTCGCGATAAATTATGGTTTTAGTATACTTTGAGGCATGTGTGATTTTTTACTTCACTATATAAAAGAATCATGTGTGCAGCCGTATGACACATATGGTAAAGATTGTTGACTATACTGTATAAAGAAAGCGGTGAGGGAGAAAGATAAGTGCCACGGAGCCGGGCCGCTCACAAAGAAATCCATCTTTTACCTCGGAAGAAGGGTGAGGCATCAAAGCCGGCAAAGCACGTGGTATATAAATAATGCTTTCTGAACAACACTACTTTGTTTGAAAAGGGAATATGATCGACTCATTGATCTCTGGCATGTCGCGAAGTAAGCTAAAAACACAGAAGGAAATTTGAAAAATTTAGGCCAAGATCTTTGCTAACTAGAGGAAATAGCAGGGAAGATTGCAAAGGCTTTGCGGAAACTCCACGGTTTGAATTTGTTGGCATTGAAAAAGCGAGAAGGTTATCAGGTTGCAGTCACTACAAATGCAAAGTCGTCGCTGACGAATGAAGTCACAATGGAAACACAAATCTCTCCCAAGAGACGGTTGACGTGCAGCCGACTTTAGTTTCCTTAGTAATTATCACAAATCCTAGAAGGAAAGAAATAACAAACTAGATGAACAGCATGAACAACATTGCACAAGCAATGAATTGCAGCTAATGAGGCGCTCTGCCTTGGGATCATTTATCAAGTTTTGGTGAAAAACTGTCCAAACGAATGTCGTTGTTCACGCAGAGAAACTGGACAGAGAATGAAGGGGCAGTAAACACGCAAAAAGCTTTGACACATTTAGAATGGAAAAAAACGCTGAAGTGGTTGGCAAAGTGCCATGCAGCAAATTGGATGAGGCGATTGGCGTACCGGACACAATTCGTCCACTCTTTGGGCGACACGGAAGCGCGTGTAGGAAATATTGAACTCAACTTCACTTTGACGCGTATATATTCTGCTTTTCTGTTCACGCTCTCGTCGCGAATGGCACTCTGTGCTGTGTGGATTCTACATTCTAGTTTAGGGATTACAAGTGTTCAATCGTGTCCGGAATTAGCGGAAGAACCCGTGGTGGGTTGAAAAAGCGTCTCCTGCTTGTTCATTTTCTTGGGCGCGTTCATAACAGCGCTCGGGACATTGCGGATTTCAAATCGATACTTATACTTTGCTTGCTCTAAAAATTCCGCGGAGGCCACGGATGCCGCGGAGGCGCTGTGTATGAACGCGGCCTTGCACTTTTCGATGCTTTGGCCGTTGCTGTCCTCTATGTGTCTGCATTACTGCAGCAATCAAGCGGAAATAGAGCTCGGCCTGCTGTGGAATGGACAATCGCACCTTCGCTCTTCAGGGTTTGATAACCGAAAACGAAATGGGTGCTGATAGAGCCGAAAAGGGACTCCCGAAGATCCTCTGATCTGAGTCTTGGAGTCTTGCCCGATATACTTCGAGATTTTGACGCTGGCATTTGAAACCACTGCGAATATTTTTCTTTTAGTATAGGTGATCAGGGAAAATTGTTTGCCCAAAGTCGGAGAGCAGGAATTGCGGAGTAGAAGTGGTCCATTAGCCTGGAGCTGTCCCATCAAAGCTCTGGTAAAAATCGCCATGTTGCTCACAATCGTTCCTTCGCGATTCTACCACCATTTACCGTCGAAAAAAGGAAAATCCCACGGAAAGGATGTGGAAAGCAGTTCAAACCTTTACAAAACATTTCTGCAGAATCGTGACTACCGTAATCCAACGTACCATATCATAGAAGGTCGAGTCATATCACCGATTCGTCTCAGGGCACTTGTCAACCTGGGTCGCTTGCTTACTCTCCTGCGCCCTCAAGCCGTCGCAAAGCATGAACACACTCTCGAGGAGTGCAGATGCAGATTAGAACGATCGTGCAGATATGTCCACGCTGAGATTAAAAAATATGAACCACCGCGTTCATACTTTGCGGAAAGCGCACGCAATGGGCTGTAGATATTTTTCCACCCCACCCCTTAGGCTGTCTCCAAGGCGACTTAGAGTACATGCCGTACAAGCCCAGAAGCGCTTCTTGCGTTTCGAGAGCGCCACCAGTTTCTTCGACCTTCACCGCTCTCGTAGCGGTACGCTTGTCTCGCACCATTGCGACAGCGCTTCGTCGCAGCTACACGTCGACCACCGTTATATAAGGTCCACAATTTTCTAATTTGATTATTCTCACTATAGTGCTACATTTGTAGAGGTCATGGGCTTGCTACAAATCCTACTGTCATGATTTCAGAACTTCCCACTACACTGGAAAATAACTGGAAACAACTGGCACCCACTAAACCACATAGGACTGACTTAGAATTTTCATTGCCGAGACAGCTTATTGTTAGACTTTATATATAGAGAGGATTTCAATGCACGACACAACAACATCAATATATTAAAAATTCATTCAACAACAAACAAGAACAATTCATTTAAGCAACGCTTTCATCGGTGTGCTTTCCCTTGAGTATTCCGAGTGCCTTGGCACGTCCGGCAGCTTTCCTTTCGACGAGATCACGACGATCCTTGTCTAGCTTCAGCTTCGTGAGGGCGACCTGAAAGCGTTCGAAAATGCCGTATTAGTCTCATAAATAAGCAATTTCAAACACGGTAATGATCTCAATGAAAATCAGTGAGTTGTGAGTAGTTAGAAGATGGTCTCTTAGGTCGCCGTTTCATACATGATGCAGAAATGCAGAACCACGGAATGTGCAGAACTGCGGAATTTGCAGACATGCGGAATTGCGTGAGAACCGCGGAACTTGCAGAAAAAGAAAATATGTCTATCGATTTCAAAAACCGTGGAATATGCAGAAGTGCGGAATTTGCAGAAATGCCGATGGACCGATCGATCCCTATCGCTTCTTTGTCCGCAATTTCTGCATGTCGGCAAATTCTGCGGATTTGAAGAAATGCAGTTTATGTCAGCATCGATACGTATTATTTTTCCTTTTCTGCATAATTCCGAGCTCTGCATAATCGCATTCCTGCATCATGTATGAACGGCGGTTCTAAATTTGCGAAAAACGGCGAGTTAACAAAAATTACGAAAACGGTAGAAACTGAAGTTGATGGGGGCCAACGCCTGCCAGGCGCGACCGATAGTTGATTCTTTTGCTCGAGACAGCTCAGCCAGAGCTCAGTGACGACCAGCGGTCGTACCGCTCCGACCTCGTCTTATGAGGCAGAACATGGCACACTTCTTCGCGCTGAGGTGTGGCCCTGATTTACTAAAGTAGAACTTTTGAAGCCTTCGAGAGTTTTGGAGATTCACAAAATAGTGAATAACTGGAGCGTACTACTACAGTGCTGAAGCAGTTGAATGAGTACTAAAGACTCACCTTCACATTTCTTCGCTGGCCCGGACACTAGTTTTTTAACCAAACCTTCACCTTCCGAAGGGTGCAGAATTTCGAATGTGCGCACAGTAAGATCCGTTCCTTTTCTCACGGTAGATTCTTTGTCAACATGGATAACGAACTTCTTACGGTAACAACGGATTACTCGTCCAGTGTTTCCGCGATGACGACCTCGCATTACGATAACCTCATCGTCTACTCTGAAAAAATTTGAAGACTCAGTATAGTTCCTATAATTAAAGGCAGAAGATCGCTAAGGGAGGCAAATTTTTGGCACTATTTACCCTTTACTGCCCCAACCATCCAGAATTGAGCCAGTTTCTGACCGACTTTTTTCTCCGTGGACAGATTTGGCTCAAATGTTGTCTCCTTGGGTATTTTGACCTCATGAATACGAATCTGACATTCGCTTAAACCGAGCGGATGTGATATTAGTGTTGAGGAGGTTCCATGCCAAAAGGAATTTATCATGATCACCCCGGTTTACACAAGATCTTCTAACCTGGTCGACCTCCAACCCTTTTCAAACGTTTAAGAATTCGCCAAATATACCGCTAAATACATTGGCCACCGATAACGACCAAACCCTCCATAGAAATGAAACTGCTGTCACACCTTGCGACAGTGAACAACTGAAGAATTGACGAAGTGCAGAGTCAGATATCTTAGTATCTCTCAAATATCCCTTTCCATCAGATTTTCACAGTCGCACGGAGTGCGTCGACATTCATTTTTCTGATCAAAATTTACCTACGAAATATACCCACAAAAGTTACCGAATTGGGATTGATCGGATTCCGTGTTTAGCACGCAGTTCCTTGGTGAGTGGAGCGGACATAATCTTCCTTCTTTCGTGAGATGGAGCATTGAAGTGTTGTTTACGGTTCTTTCCGGAATCGCGGGAAACTGCAGGATTGAACTTCATTGTATACCCTGGAATGACTAGTTTTATTTTGTAGAGGTAAAAAAACCACCAACCACTCAACACGGAACTTAAGAACGTTTCTCAGTAGTAATGGTGGTACAAAATGCTCCTCAAAATCCACAGAAACAGCAGCACAGCCTGCAAAAGGAGATGCGCCGTCCATCAAGCAGGGTACGACACCGCCTCCCCTTAATTCCTCTACAAACGTGGGAATGTCTAAATGCAGACAGAAAAGAGTAGTAGTTGGACTAGAAAGCAATAAAACAAAGCTGGTATTAAATTAGGATCCGAGCGAAGTGCAAATTTGCGAAAACCACTTTGAGGCACGGTAGAGAACTCCTTGTTCCACTCGGGACCACAGCGACAATGCGTCATATCCTTCCTATAGATTGACGGTTTTCAAGTTTTACAGGTGGTCGTCACCTTTTCAATCACATTTTCGTCCTTGTGTTTTTTGCAGAAGACCAACCATGAAACCGGATATCAAGGATCGTGACTACATGTATAGGCTTATTATTGGGTGGGTTTCGGTGTCCGAATTAGGTTTTTAACCCTTCAGATGAAGGTTTCCTTTCTGTAGTAATCAAACTTATTGTTTATACTTCAAGTCAATTGTTCTACGATGGACATCAGCAACTGGCACTATCCCTTGCCCAGGCTATTGGATGTGCAGCTCAACCGCCACCACCTTCTGACAAATTGTTTCGTCTTGTTTCGATCGCAAAACAATTCGTCGATGATCCTGAATCAAAGGAGAAACAGGCTAATATGCAGGTAATCTTCGATTTATTTCCTTATGGTATTACTTTGATTCTTTTTGAATTTCATCTCTGGATTTAATAAGTCAAAGTAGTTCTGTCATTGTCCATTCTAGATATATGTATTTGAAGCCCTGAAATATTGGGCAGTTGTCATTAGTTATGCTACAGATGAGGCTGAAAAACGCTTTCTGATTATTGGCAAGTTGACGTGCTTTGCTCTGGACTAGACACTTGAGTTTATGGCGGGATGTTATAGCCTACATCGCTGAGCCTTATGCAACTATGAAACATCTATTTGACCTCACAGCATCGGCTCTCGGCGCTACGCAGGCGTTAACACGATGGTTCGTGTTAATCGACTTGGCATCTTCATTTTTTGGCGCCGTCGGTTGGGGGGTGGGTGGGCGAGTGGAAGTGGGTGCGATCTTCGCATCGCTACTGTTCCATTGCCGTTAGAGCAATCAAGTGGGGCTCTGTGGAGATGCTTGTGAAGTCCATGAAGCGATATCCTAAGTGCCAATTTTGTAGAGAATACTTGTCAGCTGCCGTGTAAAGCAATGAGACGCGCCTCGATGGGAAGCAGCGAAAACTGAATGCCCTACCCACACCCCCTCCCAAGCCAAACTGCGCCCATTTTCAATTTCACGGTATGCTGACTGGTATTTGGTGGCTTGGAAAACATCTTTGTGTGTACCATGGCTTTCCAGTCACTAATTTGAGGCTAGTTTAGGCTGGACCTAGAAGACATTCTGCAGCTACGTTCTATAACATGCGCTTATTAAGACGAATTCCAAGTCCGAATCGAGCAAGGGGTCCCGGTTTCGCTGATCAAAGTATTCTCGTTATTATAATGTTATACCTATTTTGTGGGAAGGGTACACCAGCTGGTTCGTGTTGAACGTTTGAAACCGTGTGAGCTCTCCGCAATCTCAGACTGATCGAGTACCGGGAGTACCGGGAGTTCTCCAGCGGCAAACAAGAACTCCTATGGGCAATGGAAAGGCATTCATCTGTTTGGTAAGTTATCAAGCGCTTTTTGAATAGTATCCCTAAAGGGTTGCACTGTTTCATAAAGGCAGGGCACAGTATTGCGATAGGTGAAATGGTGGTGATTACGGAGATTTATGGGAAAAGTCCCAGCGGCGCCGAAATAAAAGTCCCTGGGTGGAGCGTACGTTGAAAGCAGTCTGTATTTGTGTCCTCAAACACTCCCGTTCCTCTCCGCTATGCCTTTTATCGGCAATTTCTGCCTGGAAAACAGTAATTTGTGGCAGTAGCCTGTCGCTCATACCCTGATCTATCCTATGTGATTTGATGTGACATAAGGGTATATTCTTTGAATTTATTCACGTACGGCTGTCGCCAGCAGGAATCGGCAGATTGTTCAATCATAAATTGGATGTTGAAAGAATGATTGCTCGCGAGGTGAGAGGTGAAATAAGTGAAAATGGACCCGATGCCAATCATCCTGTCATTCGAACACTGTACGATCACCTTGATGTGAGTTGGTTTTTTGGACATTGATATTTTCTTAACATTTTGAAATGCTTCCGATTGAGTATATGCCAACTTTATACTCTACAGCTATTGCGATAGTCTTGTCTTTGTCAAAATTGACCCATCCCCTTGTCAAAACTGACTCATTCCCGGTTTACTAACACTTCGACGCCCTTGAGCTAGTTAGTGTTCCCATTATTTATACCTCGTGTAACTTACTCACTAGTTAATTGACTTTTTTCGCCTCTTTTTATCTCAATCCTTTTTACGACTCTTGCAAAACATGCTACGCACGTTGAGAACTCTTGTCCAAGCCTAGGAAAGAAGGAGCTCCGGGTAGGTGAACCAACTTCTTTGGATGGAATATGAGTTATAGACACAAAAGTCCCAGTTTTACACAGGGTCCTTTAGAGCTGATAACCTTGGGAGGGGAGGGGGTTATCTGTAAGCGCTTATCATCATACCAAATCGTATAAACTGTATACAGTGTATACCGGACGACGTTGTCAACACCCTGTAGGCTTTGTTATCTCCTGTCAACCACACTGTAAAAACCTGCTAAACTTGTCGAAAATTTGGAAAAAAAAGGTCGAGAAATGACGTTTTCAAGACGGTGGTACGATTTCGCCACGTTTGACTGGAGTTCGCAGGGCACCTGACAGGACGACTTGAAGGCTGAAACAAGATTGTGAAAAAGCAAAAGAAAATGCAAAGATAAAGGCAAACCCCTCCTCGCCCCCGTCTTCACCCAAGGCTACTAGCGCCCTCCTTCATGTCCCCCACCCTGCCGAGGCGAACAGTGCCTTGAATCTCTCGAACAATGAAACGTGAATGTTGTAGCGCCATGAAGAAATAAGATGCCGTCAGTTTTCGTTATTGCATTTTCAGGAAGTCACTGTTGTCACGTTCCATCCTCGCGAACAAATCCTGGTGTCCGGTTCCACCGATAAAACTGTTAAGCTTTTTGATTTCTCCAAAACTGCTGTGAAAAGAGCGATGAAAACTCTATCAGTAAGTTTGACTGCTACCACTTTTTCAAGAGTTATTGCATTTAAACGGGGCTACTCGAGAAGTTGAATTTTCAGGAAGTGTTCCCGGTAAGAGCTCTGTCATTTCATCCTGGTGGAGAGTTTCTGCTAGTCACTACCGATCATCCTACTATCCGCCTTTACAATGTAGAGACAGCTCAGTGTTTCGTATGTTCTGCTCCAGGTGACCAACACAAGGATGTTGTTATGGATGTGAGCGCTTGCCTTTTTTGACACA